GGATTGAGAGGATAGAAGGAGAAACTAAACTAGAACGGATTGAGAGGATAGAAGGAGAAACTAAACTAGGAGTTAGGACGAATTGAGAAAACAGATCTCCATAAAGATCTACTGTAATTTCTTTAAAAATAATTAAATGAATGTAAACATATTATGCATATATTTATTTATTTCTAAAGTTACATCATGATCTACAAATTACATATTAGGCGAATTTTTGATTTAATAGCTTTCTTTTACCTTTTACTTGGAGGACACCTAAGTTAAATATTAAAATTAATATTTATATATTCAAAGAAAACAATAAGTTATCAAAATGTTTTGAATTTATGTAAACTTTATTGAAAATGTGTTTGTTTGTTTTAAACTTTAAACGAAATCTGTATTATACAAGAGGACCCATAAAACTGTGGAATAGGAAGACGACTGTTAGACTCAAGTTATGATTCAATCTATTCTTGTAAATTATTTGCATTAAAACAGCATCAAATACAAATATTAAAATGTCGTCCTCCTTTTCTAGAGTTGTATGGTTTTAACTTTATTGCACCTGAAGCTTAAACACAAATTGAATAAAAAGACGACAATTAGATAATTAGATTAGATAATTAAACAAAAGATATTTCAAATTTTGGCACCGAGGGTAATGATCTAATGAAAAAAGATATAATAATGTTTAATGCAAAATATGAAGAAGAAGAAGGAGAAGAAGAGTGGAGAAGAGAGCTGAAACATGGTTTGAAGAATTACAAAAATCTCCCTGATTTCAGAATAACTTTTATTCTTCAGCTTTAAAGATTAAAAATATGTATGTGCAGAGTTACCCGCGAAGATTGAGACTTTTACTGACGACCTAAAACTTCTTAAAGTCACTTTTACAGAAAAACCACAAATGAAAATAAACAGTTTTTAAACCACAAAACTGAAAATCTAATTCATTCTTGATCAAACCAAGGTTTTAAGAGTAAAATTGTGGAATTATCGAGGTCACTTGAAATTACGTTTACAGTCCCTAAAACAAAGTATGTGTTGCAGGTTTTTGCCCTTTGGGTAAAATAAAAGTTTGTATAAAAATAGCTTTTGCAATTTAATTTGAGGAAATGTTTGCATTTAGAGCAAAATTAACTGGAATTGTTCAATAAACTTGTTAGAAGGACTGCGCGTAGAAGTAGAAAGTGCGTCTATACTGCGTACTGCGTAGACATAGTTTTAAGTGACCGTTCAGTTATAGAGAGGCTTATCTGATTCACAACGGGACCCCTTAAACCTTTGTCTGATCAATGAAGGAACCGTGATTATTTGAATTGCGGGTTCTCCAATAAAAATTAGTCGCGGACAAATCTGTGGCCGAATTTAAAGAATTTGAGCGGCGGTTTAAATTTAAGCCGCGGTTTAAATATGATTGGTTCCACTTAAAATTGTATCAAATGTTTCAAGATTTCAACCGGCGCTTAATTTAAACCGGGTTTTGGCAGATTTAAACCGCGGCTCAAATTCTTCAAATTCCATTTCAGGTTGCTTTTGTTATAGGCTTTCCAAAGAGCTATAAAATGTTGAAATCCAATGACTGGAAGTAGGTCTAAATAAAGATTTAGTCTAGTATAGTTAAAATAAGGCATTTAGGCAGCATGCCTGAGGACTCAGGCAGTGGGTATAAAAGCCCAGCTTTTAGCCTTATGTGATGGGCATGTGTTGGTTAGAAAAGTTTGAAAATTTGAGCTTCCTAGCTCAAATACTTTTTGAGTTATCGCAAAAAAAAACGATAAAGAGGGGGTAAAATTGACACCCAACCAGGGTAAATAGGGTTAAGATTAGAGTAGTTTAGATGGAATAAAATTTAATTAAAGATGAAAACAGAAAAAAGTACAACTGGTGTACTCAAGGGATATGTTGCTGAGTTAGATTAAGAATTTAAACTTTTCTGATTTTATTAGAAACAAGTTATTTCCTTGCAGTAACAGGTCTTAGTTGTGCCAAACTCTTTACACCCTTCCTCGTCGTTCTGAGGAGCATCGTAGGCACAGGACTTAGTAAATTCTAGGCACAGGACATGGTATATTCTAGGCACAGGACATGGTATATTCTAGGATATTATTACCTTCATCAAGTTGTAGCTTGAGACAGTAAACTGCTCCTTCCTGACATTTTACTTGATCCAAGGATTCAGAAACACAACTTTCCCTTCAGATATAATATTAAGATAGAACATGTAGATCTATTAAACATCAAAATCTTGATTTAGAAAATATTATTATTCTTTCACAAAGAAAGATCAGCAATATAAAACTAACAGAAAAATGGATGCGAAGAGCTTTGTATGTGTAAGTCATTTGGAAAAAGGATTTATTTCAGGCAAAAATTTGTATGTGGAAAACTTGTATATGTAAAAAAATAGATATATAATTCATTAAATTGCAAAAAATAGGTCTACAATGCATTAAATTGCAAAACAAATAGGTTTATAATGCTTTAAATTGCAAAAAAAATAGGTTTATAATGTATAATGCAAAAAATAGGTTGTAATGCTGTAAATTGCAAAAAACAGGTTTACAATGCATTAAATTGCAAAAAATAGGTTTATAATGCTTTAAATTGCAAAAAAAAAGGTTTATAATGCATTGAATTGTAAAAAATAGGTTTATAATGCTTGAATTGTAAAAAAAATAGGTTTATAATGCATTGAATTGTAAAAGATAGGTTTATAATGCATTAAATTGCAAAAAAATATGTTTAAATGTTTAAAATTGCAAAAAATAGGTTTATAATGCATTTAATTGCAAAAAATAGGTTTATAATGCTTTAAATTGCATTAAATAGGTACATAATGCATTAAATTGCAAAAAATAGGTTTACAATGCATAAAATTGCAAGAAATAGGTTTACAATGCATAAAATTTGCAAGAAATAGGTTTACAATGCTTTAAATTGCAAAAAAAAAATATTTAAGAGAGCCCTGAACAAGATTAATTGTTGTTGACTTTTCTTAATCAGTAAGTTGCATAAAATGACTAAAATATTGATTTTAAGTATGAAATGAATGACCCGGAACTCTCTTAGTGTGATTGAGAATGATTATAAATATCTATTAGACCTAATAAATGATTATAAATATCTATTAGACCTAAAAAATGTCACAAGTTTTAAAGATTAGTATCACAAGTTATCGTTATAAAATGTTCAACAAATATATAGTTGGAAATATTTAAACTAGATCTCCTGAAACACCTTCCGTTTTTCAAATAGAAAAAAGCTAATTTAGTGCAAAATATTTCTAGGATTAATTGCAGTTTATGACGTGTGAATGTTGAGAGTAGTGCGACAAAATAGGAGAAACTAAACTAGAACGGATTGAGAGGATAGAAGGAGAAACTAAACTAGAATGGATTGAGAGGATAGAAGGAGAAACTAAACTAGAACGGATTGAGAGCCCCCCCCTTTAACAAGATTGAGATGTCATTAATTCTGATCTATTGGAATTTTTTTTAGAAAATAATAATTTACAATATTTTAGGATTTAATAATTTTTCTCACCCATCACATTCGTAGCACTCTAGGGAGGAAGAACAACCTAAAAAAAAAATTATATCGTAATATTTTTTTCTGTTTGTTTTTCTGTCCTCTGCCCCTTTAGTAAAAGTAAATTCCACGTATATGAAGCAAAAAGTCTGACCGCGTCAACCTTGTTGCACCGGCTAGTCATGTCCATAGAGCTAGGTACAGTACAAACTGGGAACGGAACGGAAAGGTTGACCCGGCTCGGAAATTCAAATGTACCACGGCTGCCAGTGATGAAATTGTTTTTGCATTGTACATTTATTATACAATACACAGATGTTAAAGTTTTCTCTAAATTTAGTCAGAATAATTTGAAGCGCGAAATACAAAAGAAATTGTTTACCCTGGAAAATGTCAGAAGTTTGGACAAAAACTGTTTTCTCATAAATTGACGGGACACACCAGACTGACTGAATGAATATCTGTATTAAATTAGTTAGGATGAATAATGAATGAATATCTGTATTAAATTAGTTGTAATGAGTAATGAATGAATATCTGTTTTAAATTAGTTGTAATGCATAATGAACGAATATCTGTATTAAATTAGTTGTAATGAATAATGAATGCATATCTGTTTTAAATTAGTTTTAATGAATAATGAATGCATATCTGTTTTAAATTAGTTGTAATGAATAATGAAAAAAATATCTGTTTTAAATTAGTTTTAATGAATAATGAATAAATATCTGTTTTAAATTCGTTATAATGAATAACGAATGCATATCTGTTTCAAATTAGGTGTAATGAATAATGAATGAATATCTGCTTTAAATTAGTTGTAATGAATAATGAATGAATATCTGTTCTAAATTAGTTGTAATGAATAATGAATGAATATCTGTTCTAAATTAGTTGTAATGAATAATGAATATCGAAAAAGAATGAATCTATATCTGCATTAAATTAGTTATCATTTATAATGATTGCAGATTAAATTCACTTGAAGAATAATTTTATCTAATTATCAATATGATTTGAAACCACGAAACCACACCAATATTCTAATCATTAAATCAGAATCTGCATAATTTTAAAGGGAGGGATCAGGGGGTACAGCGTGTGTGATTAAGTTAACTTTTCAGAACCGAAGCCACGCTATTTGATTGCATTAAAAAGTGCATAATTGCTAGAATTAAGATTTAACCCAGGAGATGAATAAAGATCTTAGTTTGACACCTGAATTGTGTTATCGTGTTTGTATGGGACAAGCCAATATATAGAAAACACTTTTAATAAAATAAAATTTCTGTCAAACTGCGATGGTTCTAACGAAATATGCTAAGCAATTCCTTCAGAAAAATGTTAAGCAACTCCTTTAGAAAAATGTCAGCAATTTCTTTAGGAAAATGTTGAGCCAGTGTTGTAGAAAAATCTTAAGAAATTTCTATAGAAAAATGTTAACCCAATAATTCCTTTAAAAAATGTTAGCCCATTGTTGTATAAAAATGTTAAGAAATTCCTTTAGAAAAATGTTAGCAATTCCTGTAGAAAAATGTTAAGCAATTTCTTTGGAAAAAGTTAAGCAATTACTGGAGAAAAAATTTAAGCAATTTCTTTAGAAAAATGTTAAGTATTTCTTTAAAAATATTAAGCAATTTCTTTAAGCAATTCCTTTATAAATTCCTTAAGAAAAATGTCAAGCAATTTCTTTAGAAAAATGTTAAGCTATTGTTGTAGAAAAATATTAAGTAATTTTTTTCAGAAAAATTCCTTTTTTAAAACCTTTACCATAAATCTTGAGTATATATTGTAAGTTTGGAGAAAAATTTAAATTCTAGAAAATATATATTTAGATAAAAGCTTGGCAACAAGTGCCTTGCAGTGCATGCAATTCGGTGCATTTCATAAATCATCATGTATTCTTACTTTATTTTTAAATTGCACACTTTTTAGCTAAAATCTAAATTTGAATCTTGATAAAAATAGTTTGATACTTGACAACTTTATCTTCTGACGGTCTACTTTCAGACGGATTTGAGGGCTGTATCAATGAGGGGGGGGGGGGGGGGGCATTTTTTATTATTGTAGACCCAGGACTAATTTTTAACTAGAAACTTTCTTGAGTTAACTATGAACACTCTAAAAAAAAATTTTTTCTTCACTTTTTCAATATATTTTTAAGCTCTTTAAATTTTTTTTAAATTCTAATAAGTGCTTACCTATTAAGGAAAGAAGAATAATGCCAGTGAAAGTAAGAAAATTTTTCATTTTCAAATCTGAAACATAAAAATTAAGCATGAATAAGAAAATTATTCTGAGGAGGAAATCTTGGAAATCTTGGAAGCATAAAGGGAAGGGAATTTGTACTGAATCTTGAGATCAAGCATTGATCTCCATCTTATGCAGATCTATACATTACTTAATTTCCTCTTCGATATCCTGTGATGATTATACCTTGCAGAGAGAACAATAATTGAGGGATCAAGCATTGATCCTCAGATTTAAAAGTACCCGTATTTCGGATATATTGAAATATTGCCGTCAAGATTGACCAAGGTTGTATAATAAGGTTGCTTACACTCGATGCGCTCCAGTCCAATGTACGGAAAATGTTGTCTCCTTAGCAAAGATAGATAGAATCAGCATATGATGTCACTCTCGTCTCTATAATCAGTGACATCATGTGGATTTTATCGATCTACAATCCCGAACAATACATCTAGTACACATTTGTACGGCAGGGGCAAAGCCGGAAACCTAAGAGATTGAGTATCTTTAAATCCCAAGATTTTTTTGAGGGGGGTTTATAAATTTGTCTAGATGGCATGGGCAGTCCCCCCCCCTGATAATTTTCCCTCCAAGTGCAGTATTGACGCAGATTTCGATATTTCTGTGCAAAATATATATTTTTCCCCAAAACACTCAAAGACTATCTGATTTTGATGGAAGTTATCAATTCGATAAATTATTTTGACAACTTTTTCCCAGTTTAACAAATCTCATGATTATCTTAGAGAAAGTTCCTTTTCAAACTCGAAATTAAAATTTAGAATAAACTGCAAAAATAAAGTGATTTTAAGAGTGCACTGACATTTTTTTCTTTAGTGCAACATTTCCTTTCGAGACAAAAGGCTAAAAAATTAAGTTTTTAATCTCTATGTAAAAAACAATCTAAAATATTTACAATTTCTTAATCCTACAAAGGCTCCCGGTTTCTTACCCTACCATCCTACCATTGCACTTTATTTTTGAAACTATCATCCTGAAAATTCCTGATATTTAGGAGATACAGGGCACGCGGAAGGTGATTCTAATTTTGCAATAATTGAAGGATCAATGATTTTTTAAATAAAACAAATTAAAAAAGGTGAAGAAAAAATAATTTTTAAACACCTCCATATTTAACTACTTCGTGATTTACACATGGAGTAATTTTACCTCCATATTTAAATACTCCGTGATCTACACATGGAGTAATTTTACCTCTATATTTAATTACTCCGTGATCTACACATGGAGTAATTTTACCTCCATATTTAACTACTCCGTGATCTACACATGGAGTAAATTTACCTCCATATTTAATTACTCCGTGATGCACATATGGAGTAAATTTACCTCCATATTTAACTACTCCGTGATGCACATATGGCGTAAATTTACCTTTATATTTAACTACTCCGTGATCTGCACATGGAGTAAATTTACCTCTATATTTAACTACTCCGTGATGTACACATGATGAAGTACAGATAATGTTAAGAATGTATCTATATTAACTATATATAATATTTATATATGAATGTGGTATAAGATAGATGAACATTATGTATTGTATTGTCTGAATTATATAATATTATTATTTATCATTCATACTATAGTTTATTCGAGGGGGTCTAATAGTAAAAATCTCTGTTTGGTTTATAATTTACCAGAATTTGCACTGTTAGAATGACACGTTCTCAATGGACATATTTCGGACTTCATGAAATCTTAAATAGATAGCATTTTTTAAAGCCTATACACACACAAGAAAGGATTGCTATGATTGTCAACTAAAAATATTTGTTTCTGTGCACTTCAAGATGGATATATTGCACAGTGTTCTGACAGCCAAATATATGAATATGACAAAATGATCAAAAAAATAGTCTCTAAACAGTAACATCAGCTGTACGTACTCATGCACTGTGATCAATCTAATCAGTTATAGGCCTAAATAAAAAGCAAATCTTGACTGTATACTGTAAACTGCATAAGGCGTTGAAGTATAGAATGAAACTGGGTAGAAACCAACAGAATACACTACCACTCCCATAATTCTATATATATGTATGTATTGTACAAATATATAATATAAACATAGTTACGCTCCTCTCAACGAACTGAACGTTTGCCAGGACCTCAGGCATTCCTATAATACAGGCAGATTTTTTAGATATTTAGAAAGCAACCTGTCAAATACCCATAACTAACCCACACCTCTATATAAGATCTTAAATGAAACCCGATGCTGCAAATTAACATCATTTAAATTTAAGTAATCATGCAGCTTTTGAATATAATTTTATACGAATCTATATATATAGTTGTAATCTCTGTTTTGGTGTCTGTCTGTTTGTTTGTCCGATCATAACTCATGAACCCGTAGACCGATTTGCCTCAAATTTTCATTGGGGAACTCGGGAGTTTGTACTTTTATAGGGAAAACTGTAGGCAAAGCAGTATTATACACATACATATATTGATGTTCCATTAATTATTTTGCGCTCTATCGTACATCTTACTTTTTTTTTGGATAATCTTGGTCAATATTTCTGGTAATATAATTGTGTTTGGTGCTGATCAGGGATCTGTGTGCAAGAATTTAGTGTCTTTAGAAAACATAACATTAAAAATTTTGCGGTATTTTCTGGTTTCATTGCCTGATTTCCAAATTTTTTTAAATTAAAAATTATTTTGAGGTAACATTTTTTAATTCTGACCTACTATTAACCTTCCCTGGGGTCATGAGAGTTACCACAAAAAAGGTTGACCCGATTTGTTCAGCCGTCCTATGTTTTATTGGACACAAACAAACAAACAAACCTACACCCAAACAGAAGAGTCAAATATTCACACTGCACAGAAACATATTGCAAATATACATGTTGCAGCTATCAAACACACAGTCCTTAAAGTACCCAATAAACCCACACCAATCCACACAGCCGGGCCATACACATTTTTCAGCAACTTTATGACCTTGCCTATATTCGTCCCCGATACTTTGCCATGGGTTGGACCTTTCCGACTCATTTTTTTATAGTTCTGGAGCTAAATATTTTAAATCTACAAAGCGACTATTTCTTGCTTTAGTTTTAAAAAAGTATTTTCTCATTAGAAAATTGTGTTTTAGTTCAGTCTGAACCCTCGTAAACAGATACAAACATCTCTGGGAAATCATTTTTTAGTTCAGTGTGAACCCTCGTAAACAGATACAAACATCTCTGGGAAATCATGTTTTAGTTCAGTGTGAACCCTCGTAAACAGATACAAACATCTCTGGGAAATCATGTTTTAGTTCAGTGTGAACCCTCGTAAACAGATACAAACAACTCTGGGAAAGCTTGAAAACAGAGTTTAACGAGGTGCGGAAAAGCCAACCTGATCCACAGAGTTTACCGACTAAATATTTAAAAAAACAAAGTTTCATTTTCGTAGACGTTAGACGTTGAATATAAATACTTTAAGATAAATAGTGTTTCAGAAAGTTTGATGCCACTTTATACGCGGGGGGCGATATGACATTTGATATATTAATAATTTGCACTTGATAACTTATAGACCCTAGATGTTTGTCCAGTGCAAAATTTCTTCAAATTTTGTCGAAAAGATTATTTGTTAAAATGAAAAAATAGCATTCCTTTATGAAAAGCTGTTTTTTTGGTATGCAACAATTTTCATTTAATCCCGCCGGGATTTTCATTGAAAGATACATTGAAAATCTACAAAGGCAAAAAAATCCGCAAAATCCGCAAGCCCTCGGGTTTATCATTGAATCCCCTTTTTAAAAAGGAATGTCATTTACTCTCAGACAAATTAGAATCAATGGAAATTTGTCGGAGAGTAAATGATACATTGATTCTAATTTGTCTGAGAGTAAATGATACATTGATAACTTTTTCTATAGCAATTCCTTTTCCCATTTCTTTCTCATCTCCTTTTTCTTAGTCTAAGGGTTGGTTATCCATTTTTGGAAAAAGAGAATGGAAAAGTCAAATTCAAAATATGCGTAATATTTTACCATTTTTGTCAAGTAAGTAAGTACAGAGTGTAGCTAAGCCTACGGGCGGGGGGGNAAAGGTACAAATCAAGTTTTTCACTGTTTTACAAAAGAGTTTGGAGTCGTCGGACCATGCACCTATGATTGGTGTAAAAGCTGTATTATAACCTTGAATGCAGTATTAATATTGTATAATGTATATGTTATATATTCGTTATGTAGAGTGCACATGGAAAAATATATATAATTGTGGATATAATTTCTTAAAAATATATACATACCAAATATATCTATCAAGATTTATGTAAATAAACCCAAATAATTGTTTGTCATGGTTCAACAGCTTTCAAATTTCTAAAGATTTTTAAATACATATATTTGCGTAGAGATATTTCTCACAAAAATTTAATAATTTAGCTGAACACGGTTAGGTAAATCTTATCATTGGCAAACTTTAAGATGATGCTTGGAGGACGACCTATAATCATCTTTTCCTGAGTAATAACGAGGAAAATATCGTATTGAAGAAGCCACAATTAAGAATTATGAGTTTTCAGATGAGAAAAACTAGAATATATCCTCAAAGGCGAAGGTTTAAAAGGGACCCATTGAGGTTAGACATACGTGTAACTCATTACATGGAGGGTCACATAGAACTACGTTGACAGTCCCTTTAATAATTACTTCTGCTCGTCTCACTGACAACACAGCTGTAGTACTTTATTTGATAACTACTGCTTTACTGAAATATATTGGCCTAGATGTAAACAGGTGTTTAGAATGTCGGATACAGGAGGCCCTCCTGCTTTAATTCTAATTATCTCAAGCAAAATTATTATAATTCTTCTTAAATTTTCTTGCATTTTCATACAGAAAAGTGAAAAAGGAAAAAAATGCATTTTTTTTTTTTTTTTTGTCAGACAGGATTCTTTAATATGGGATTCATGGATGTAATCAATTTACACAATTGTACAAACTATGTAATCAATTGATTATTATTGTAATCAATTGTATCTTTGGTGAATTTTGTG